TGACTTGGACTAAGACTAGGACTTTGGACGAGACTTTGACCAAGAATTTGACTAAGGCTTTGACTTTCACTATGGCTAAGACTTTGACTTAGAATTTGATCATGACTAAGACTTGGACTGTGACCAATACTTTGACCGAGACTTAGACTAAGACGTTGATTAAGACTTGGAATAAGACTTGAACGTTAACTTTACTAAGACTTTGACTATCACTTTGACTAAGACAAAGACTCGTTTTGCCTTTTTTTTGACAAATCGTTGGCTTGCTTAATTAGTTAGTTGATTCATTAATGATCATTATTGATCATTATTGATTTGTATTATAAATTATATCAGGATATTTTACTTTAAGAAGTTCCTTTTTATAGATTTTTTATAAAATATATACATTATAATTCACTATAAGTAGCTTTTTAATATTTAACATTAATTCATTGTTGATTTATTAATGTTTTGAAGTTGATTTATTTATGATTGATAGTTGATTCGTTATTGATTAACTAATGATTTTATTAATAATTCATTATTGATTCATTAATGATTTGTCTTATACAAATATCCTACTAATACGAGAATTTTCAAAGCCTAAGCGCTTGATTAATATTTTAGTCTCACGAGAATTGACAACTTTTTCTACAAGATATATGTACATCAGAATATATTACTTTAAACTGTTCCTCTTTATAGCATTCTTACAAAATATACACTATAATTCAAATTAACTAGTCTTTTTTGTAGTTAACATTAATTCATTATTGATTCATACTTGATTTATTTATGATTCATTGTTGATTCATTAATGATTGACTGTTAATAAAATAATGAAACATTATTAATTCATTATTGATTTGTCTTATATATCCAACTATTATGAGAATTATCAAAGCCTAACCACTTGACAAATATTTTAATACCACGAGTCTTAAGAACTATTGCTATAGAATGTATGTATCAGAATATTTTACTTTAAGAAGTTCCTCTCTATAAAATCCTTATAAAATATACATTATAATACAATTTAAGTAGTTTTCAATAGTCAACAATAATAATTGTTAGTTGATTCATTAATAATTTGTCTTATCTATCCAACTGGTTTGATAATAATTAAAGTCTAACCACTTAATCAAAATTTTATTTCCACGAGACTTGACAACTTTTTCTACAAGATATGTACCAGGATATTTTACTTATTGGTTGGTCCTATAGTAATTATTGATCTTATAAGTCACAGGTGTAGTTGATACAACTTTGTCAATGGGGCCGTCCATAAATTACGTAAAATATTTTTTGAAAATTTAACCTTCCCCCCCCTCCTCCTAGTAAGATATTTTACATACATCAGCTCAATTTTTTCTATTGTTCGTAAGAACTAGCTACACGGAAAAAAAAATACGTGAAATTTTCATTGACTCGGTACTTGACTTTTGGATACGACACAAAATACTAAAAACAGTCTAGTACTTTTGCATGAGAGTTTCAAAAGCAGTCAATGAAAATTTCTAGTACCTTGCTTGAGAATTTCATTGACTTTCAAAAAAACTGTAAAATAAAAAAAATAATTTCCACTTGTTCACACAGTTTTTCTGAAATTCACTCATTCATTAACATATTTGGATAATTAATCACACAAACAAAGAACAATTATTGTATCACTTTTTGACGTTCGTCAACACTTATGAACTAACCTATAACACACACATATATTCGCGTATAACTTAAATATAAACACACACTTCACACTTAAAAGTACGTATTCTTATAAACCACATGGTGAAATTTTTCACGACTTCTGAGACATGCTATTTCACTGAAAACTGAGACTTACATAACATTCTGTTTTGTGAGAAACACAAAACAAAAAATATTTTTTTGAAAGTCAATTCTTGAAGACAAATATACAGTAAGAAAAGCTATCCGTCAGTCATAGGAAAGTATGGGAATCGCATAAGTCTGTCTCACTCCCACTCATGGGATATGACTGACGTGGTAGGTTTTCGTACTGTATATTAACACTATTTGTTTTTCATAAGATAATAGTATATTCACATCTGAAATTAACACAAATGGAAACAGACGATCAGCTGGCAAGGTAAATACCTTGGGTAGAAACGCGCAACGCACACTGCGCATGCTCTACAGAATTTTCAAGCGCAGTCAACTAATCTTTCACGTACTTTATAAAACTGAACAAATGACTTTTCGTTAAAATTTAAAAAACACTGTTGCCCATACTAGTACTAGAATAACTCTAGGACTTTTCTATATTTTCTAATAAAAAGTATATGATACAGCCTTGTATTTTGTGTCCTATCCAAAAGTCAAGCACTTTCAAGGAAGGATTCACGTACTTTTTTTCCGTGTAGACCCTCCCCCATAAATGTTTTAATTAATTTATGGACGACCCCGATGGTGAATGTTTTAGTTAATGTTTTATTTGATGACTCGTACTTTATCATGATTTTTTTAACTTTGGTATTCACTGCGGTACTTTTTTTAATTTTAAAAAACGTACTTTTAATGTGTCAACAACTTCTAAATTTACACCTTCACTCTTAAGTGTTCTATTAAATCGTTCAACAACTGACATTTTTTAGATTCCTGCATGTTGATTAAAAGTAATTTTATTCATTTTCGTTTCTGATTCAAATTGTTAATTGTAAAATTATTTTCTTTTCATTATCTGAATGCAGGTATTTTGGAATACATTTATTTACTAAATATTACATTGCATCAGCAACATCTTTTCCATTTTTATTCTCTACAGGAACAGCCCAAAAATATTTGAAAAAAATATCTATTTATTTTAAAATAAGATATCATTTCTACTAAATCTACTAAAATCTACTAAATCTACAATACCAAGCATTTTTACTCGACATCGATAAGTTTTTCAACCTAATGTATGGAGTTTATTCACTACTATTAACATTTCATCATTCATTTTCAATAATAGTTGGATATTTAAGACAGATCATTAATGAAAAAACAGTAAATAATTAATAAATCAACACTAAAGCATTAATAAATCAACAATTAGTCATTAATGAATCAACAATGAATCATTAATGAATCAAGAATGAATCATAAAAAATCAACTATGAACCATTAATAAATCAACTATGAATAATTAATGAATCAACAATTAATTATAAATAAATCAACTATAAGTCATTAATAAATCAACAATTAATTAACAATGAGTCATTAATGAATCATAAAAAATCAGCTATGAATCATTAATGAATCAACAATGTGTCATTAGTGAATCAACTATGAATTAACAATGAATCAATAATGAATTATAAATAAATCAACTATCAATCATTAATTTATTAACAATGAGACATTAATGAATCATCAATGGATCATAAATAAATCAAGTATGAATCATTAAGGAATCAACAATGAATTAACAATGACTCATTAATGAACCAATAATGAACTGAAATATTTGTCAATTGGTTAGGAAGCGTTCCCAAATGATGTCATGTAGTTTTTTTGAGATTCACCCCCCCCCCACCTCTACTACAATTTCGCGCAATTTTAGATGAGAAAAATATATTATTTTTCGTTTAGTAGAGACCCACTTATTAGTTTGAACTGTATTAATAGTGGATACGTTCATACGATTAAGTAACATAAAAACATCATTTTACCCTTTTTGAAATGAAAAGTCTTTCAACGTATATTCGTCCATGATCTGGTGTATCTGAGGGAAGTTTAGCTCAGATTCTGCATTGCGCATGTTTCAGATTCTGTACCTAACCTTCCGCGCAACATTGGTCCCACGGTTTTAAAGACTTCTCGTTCTGGTGTACAGAATTACAGAAACTAAACTTTTAACACATATACGAAAGTTTTAGCACATATGCTGTTCTATTTTATCTCAGCGTCTGAATAAAATCAGGGAACAATATCTAACCCTCATTTCGCGCGGCTGCTGTATCTGAGTTCAGATGCTGTGCTAAACTTCTCTCAGTGTAATTTTGACTATTAATTTTTCTCTGTGTATTTATATAGACAAGACAAATCATTAACTAATAAATTATTATTATTCAAAAAATTAATAAGAAATTAATCAATAATGAATCTTTAAAGAATTATTTAACCGTAAACCATTAATGAATCAATAATAAATCATTAATTAATCACCGATGAATCATTAACGAATCAACAATGAGTCATTAATGCATCAACTATGATTCAACAATGAATTAATATCAACTGATAAAAAACTACTTACATTTAATTGTAATGTATATTTTATAATGATTATATAATAAGAAAGCTCTTAAAGTAAAATATCCTGATATGTACTTGTCTTGAAGAAAAAAATTTTCAAGACTCGTTAAAATAAAATATTTGGATAGATAAGACAAATCATTAATGAATTAATAATGAATTAAAAAGAGACAGGTGTGAATATCTGAAATCTATTTCAGGTGTTGTACACGGAAATAAAATTTTAACTGGAACTGCAATAAGGTGAAAGTCTTAACTGAAATAACTAAAACTTTCGTTAATATAGTGAAATTTATGGTTGTTCCAGGTAAATTTCTTTGTCGTGTGTACATATACCCAATATACAGATTCACACATCACAAATTGCACTAACACATGTATAAAATATAACACAGATGAGGGTCGAAACATGTCGAAAAAACAGTTCCCTACTCTGACGGTTGAATTAAAATGTAGGGTAGGAATCTGCATTTCAATCAACTGTTAATGATGGAATCTGCAATACTGACTGTGGGTTGGTAACCGACACAGCGTTGGTGGCTGTCGCACGAACTATAATGTACAAATTTGAAATGCGCGCCATTTACCGACTGCAGCGCTAGTGGCGCCTCTAGCGGCGGCCTCGCGAACATGTGTCCCGGTACTCACTTTGTTTATCTACTATCGTGTAATTTAAAAATTTTAACTGTAAAATTCAATTTTTTAAAACAAAAACTTTTTTAATTTTAAAAATACATAAAATTCTTATTTAATTTCAGAATTAATTATGGGAAGAACTTCAACTGGAAGGAATTCGTTGTCCAAAGGAGTAAGTAAATGAAACTGTTTTTTTTGTAAACTTTTTCTGTTACTTATTTATATTTTTTAAACTTTTTTCGTACTTCGTAACTTTTTTAAAATTTTTAATAAATATTTTTATAACAATGCTACTTTTGTTTTAAAATTGCATGATTTTTGCTTTATACAAGGTTAATTTCAGAAAAATTGAATTTAACTTGGGACTTAGAAAAATTTCCTTCAAAAGTGGTAAAATTTAATATTATATATTGTTATTTAGAAAATAGCTTTTGCTACTTCCAAAGACAATTTTTTTATAAAAATTATGAAAAATTTCTCTAAAAATAAGAATAAATAATATGCAAAAAAATCCCTTCAAAAGTCAATTATTTTCATAAGTAATAAAATTTTTACAGGAATTCAGTTAATTTAGAATAGAATTTTAAAAAAATCAAGTATTTAACAAAATTTTTATACAATTCTAAGCAAGAATTCAATTATTTTCATAACTAACAAAATTCTTCTCAGGATTTCGATTATTTAAAAAAAATTTAATAAAATTCCCAGCAACTATTCAATTATTTTCATAAATAATAAAATTCCCAGCAACTATTCTATTATTTTCATAAATAATAAAATTTATCGCAAGATTTTAATTATTTTTAATACAATTTTACAAAAACTGCTCAAAAAATGTAGTTATATTTAAAAATTTAATTTCAATTCATCTAAAAAATTAATTATTTAAAGAAATGCTTTTTCAAAATTCTCTGAAAAAATTCAATTAATTATTTACAAAAATATTAGAATTTTTTACATGAATTCAATTATTTTCAAATATTTTAATGAAATTGTTCTAAATACATCATTTATTTTAAATACAATTTTAATTACATTTTTTTGAAATAATTCAAATATTCTTTTAGATTTTAATAAAATTCTTCCCAAGAATTGAATTATATCGATAAATAACAAAATGAGGGCTCGAACCAGTGAAAGTATTTAAAAATACGGACTTTACGGAATAAAAACGAAAAATTAATGACAAAAATATAACCACTCTGAGTCAAATAAGAAATCATTTTATTTAAAAACTATAAATTAAATTTTCTACAACTATAAAACATGAAGATATCAATAACTCTGAGTCCTCAACTCAAAGTGATTGATTTTTTCATGTTTTATAATAATTAGTGATGGCCGAGTGATAAAATCATTATTAATTCAATTACTATATACAAGATTTTTTAACTAAAATTTTTTTTCAATCGATTATCGATTATTTTTAATAGTTTTCGAAAAAAGTCTTTGACTATTTTCAAATCCATTTGTTTACAAAATTTCGATTTTAGTTAAAAATTCTTGTATATATTAGATATATTATATATTAAAATTAAATATTATAGATATTAGAAGATAAAAACTTTAAATAATATAAAAAAAGTGCAATTAAATATTTTCAAAAAAATTTATTTAAAAATTCAATTATTTCTAAAAATTTATTCTTTATTGCTTTTAATATTCAATTATTATCTACAATTCTATCCGAAATTCATTTCTAAATAAATTTTCATTTGAAAATTCTACTAGAATTCAATTATTATTTAAATAGAAAAATAAATAATTTATTAAATAACTAAATGTTTCTTAAAATTCAATTCCCATAAAGAATCGATATCAACAAATTTTTAAATAATTTTATTCTATCAACGAATTATAAAATTTTTAATAATAATTACATTTTTCGAGAAATTTCATTAAAATTGTATGAAAAATAATATTGAAATTCTACAATGAGTTTTATTATTTGTGCAAATAATTGAATTCCCTAGAAGAAATTTATTACTTTTGAATAATATTTAATTTTTGCGAAGAATAATATTACTTTTGAAAATGATTGAATTTTTGCCAGATTATAATTTGTCACTTTTACAAAACTGATTTCTTTTCGTGTTTTTAACTAAACATCTTCAAAAAAATCAATTATTTTTAATAATTTTTGAAAAAGTTAATTAAGAATTTTCAATTTCATTTGTATACAATTCAGTTTTACAAAATTTCAATTCATCGTAAATTCTTTAATGAAATATATATTTTTTTTTTTTTTTTTTTTTTTTGCTTAGGGAATTTTGGGAAATCTGTTTACAGATACCTTGGATTCCGCACTCCAAGGTTATGTGGGGTTGGTAAAATAAAAAAAAGGGAAAAAAAAAAAAGGATAAATAAATAAATGTTATAATAAATTTAATAAACTGGCGACCTACTACCAGCCCGACCCACTAAAACCCGTAACCCTTCTTTTGGAGCCCTTTACCCTCCCTCGGAACTGTCGTAAGACTTTAGCCTTCGAGGGAGGCGCTCCAACTCTATCGCTGCTGCGACTTTGTTCTGTGTCTGCGGTTCTCCTGCGTCAATAGTTAAAAAATTTAAAACTATTTCAATATAAAAGCGGAATTAGCAGCACAACAACAATAAAAAACAAAAATTTTAAGAAGTTTAAAAAGTCAAAAGATAAAATTATAAACGGATATATAAAAAAAAATAAAAATAAACGCGTATAAAATATTGAAAACATAAAATTGTACAAAGATGAATAAAAAAAAACAAAACAAATTAAAAAAAAATGTATAGGGACAAATAAATCACAAAATAAATTAATAAAAAACAAACAAACAAATTAAAAGCTGTTTAAATTACGCTTTTTGGCGGCCGTCGAGATCCTTCCTCGACATAACCGAGATTATGAAGTTCTCGACTTGCCGCCAATTCTCTTCCGACTGGGTCATCAGCGATACCATATTCTCCGGTGTAACTTGACTGTTTACACCTTCGAACATGGCCCGCCTCTCCAAGTCCCATTTTTTGCATGAGAAGAGGGTGTGCTCCGCGTTGTCCTCAGGGAACTGGCAATATGCACACACCTCGTTCTCGCGTAATTTAAAGCGACACAGGTACGAGTTAAAACACCCGTGACCTGTGAGCGCCTGAGTCAAATAATAGGAAACCTGACCGTGTTTCCTATTTATCCAGGTGGCGAGTGCCGGGATAAGGCGATAGGTCCATCGACCTTTTCCCTCACCATCCCATCTTTCCTGCCATCTTTCTATGAGCCTGTGCCTCGCTTCTTTGCGGATCAGGCCCTTGCTTGGTCTTAATTCCTCATAATAATTTTAAAAAAACTCAATTTAGGTTTCTCAAAAAAAATAATTCCACAGAATAATTAGTTAAAAATATGAAGAATTCAAACTTTTGAAGATTTTAATCTGAAACCTTTTCAAAATTCAATTGTTTCTAAAAATTTACTGCTTTTAACATTCCATTATAATCTAAATTTTTAATTAAAATCCATTTTTAAATTAACGTTTATGAAGCAATTTTACTAGAATAAAATTATTTAAATACAAAATAACAATATATTGAATAATTACATATTTCTTAAAGTTTAATTGTCATAAAGAATTTTTTCTACACATTTTTAAATAGCGGAATTCTTTTGACGATTATTAATAAAATTTTTAAGAATTTTTTTGATGAATTCGGTTCCATTTTCAGGCTACAAGTGGAGAGGATCAGCAACGACAGCAGTTACCACCGCAACAGCAGATGCAGCAACAACAGCAGTTGCCACCACAACAGCAGATGCAGCAACAACAGCAGTTGCCACCGCAACAGCAGATGCAATTACAACAGCAGTTGCCACCGCAACAGCATATGCAGCAACAACAGCAGTTGCCACCGCAACAGCAGATGCAGCAACAACAGCAGTTGCCACCGCAACAGCAGATGCAGTTACAACAGCAGTTGCCACCGCAACAGCATATGCAGTTACAACAGCAGTTGCCACCGCAACAGCCGCAGTTGTTCTTTCATCAATACCAATTCCAACAACAACAGCAACAATTACAACTGCAGCAGCAAATTAACCTGCAAATCGAGCAGCAGCAGTTGTTGCAGGATAAAATTCAGAAACAACAGCAGCAACTTCAGCAACAACAACAACTTTCCGAAACAGAGGAAAAAGTTGTTGCTCCGCTGAAGAGGCCAGCGTTGGAGTCTGCACCTGCACCATCACCGGCAGAGAATGATTTCTCCAGGCAGGAGAAACCTGCCTACAAAAAGGATAATTCTAATGTAAGTAAATTATGATTAATTGAGGGGCTAGATGCTATAAGGTGTAACGCGACATGTCAAGTAAATGGCGCGCAACACCTCATAGCATCCTGGCCCTCAATTATTAGTTAAATTTACATTTAGGTTTTACATTAACATTTAATATATAATTTATTTAATAAATTATGTAACATAATGGAATTATTAGAAGAATTTTAATTAAAAATACTTAAAAAAAGAATTTTGAAGGACTTACAAATGATTGCAATAATTCAATTATTTTCAAAAATGGCAATAAAATTATAATGACAGAATTTGAATTATTTTCAAAAATTTTTGTCAATTCAATCATTTTCAATATGTACTATTTTCATAAAGTTTTCTAAAAAGAATTTAATTCTTTTTAAAAAAATTAGATAAAATTTAATTATTTTCATAAGTAATAAAACAGCAATTCTTAAAAAGAATTCAATTTCTTTTATAACTATCAAAATTCCTCCCAGAAATTCAATTATTTTCAGAAATTTTAATATAAATTTTTGCAAAATTTGAATATTTCTATAAATATCAATATTCATAACAAGAAAAAATTTTCTACAAAATTAATAATTTTTTATAATTTTAGTCAAAATTTGAACTACAATTTGAACTACAATTTCAACTTCAAAATTTAATTACTTCAATTATTTCAATTCGTTCTTTTCCATTTTTTTACAATTTTCTCACATTTTTCAAATTCTTTAAACAATAATTTGTCAAAACTTAAAATAAAATTTTCACACATGTAAGTAATTTACAATTTCTTGAGTATTTTTTAAATTTATAATTTATGGGTATTACAATTTGTATCCTCAAAAAAGTTTTAAATTCTTCAAAAATTTAATAACCTTGTTAAATAAATATTTAAGCACTTATACTAAAATATTTTCCCAAAAGAATAAAAGAGTGTCTAATAACCGAAAAATAGGCAAGAATTTAATTTGACCAGGAATAATTTTAATTTGTTTTTAAAAAATCGCTTTTTATTTCAAGTTTTGTAGATATTTATACTGTTCTCTCAATTTGAATTAGTTAAAAATAATTGATTTGATAGTAAAAAATATAGTATGCAAATTACTTTTAAAAAAATTATCGAATTAATAGAAATTTTGTGAAATTCAACTGAAACTAATTAAATTTGTTAAAGACTTTCTTGAAAACTTTTTAACAAATCGAATTTTCAAAGTTCTAATGTATTTATGTTTCTTAATGCGAAGATTAGTAATTAAAATTTTTTATTAATTAATTTTAAAAAATATACCCACTTACAATTTTTTAATAAAATTGAATTTTCGCAATTTTTTTTCAAAATTCTAAAAAATAAGATTTTTGAAACTTTTCAATTCTATTGTTCCAAGATAATTGAATATTTATAAACAAATAATTGCAATTTTTGAAATAATTGAAATTTCTTTACATTCTATTAAAAATAATTGAATTCTTTTAAAGAATTTGAGTTTAATATTTCGAAAATAATCAAGGGAATTTTATTCAATTTTGCTTAGCTTTTACTCCAAAACGCAGAGCCTCCTCAGAGGCTTTCGATTCGCATCGAAAGTAGACAGAGTCGAGTTGTGCAATTCGCAATTTGAACCTTCGAATTTCGAATTAGCAAGTTCGAATCGAATTTTGCACACATCTAAATTTTATTTTTAAAAATTTCTTCGCAATGTATTTAATTATTTTCATAAATAATAAAACTCATTTCGTTAAAAGAATTCAATTATTTTTTGAAACTGAAAAAAAATTCTTCTCAAAAATTCAATTATTTCCATAATTATAGCAAAATTTTTCAGATTAACTAAATTTTTTCGAATATTATTTTTAAAAAAAGTTCTTTACAAGAATTTAATTATTTCCATAAATTTCAAAAAATAAAAAAAACAATTCAATTATTTTCAAAAGTAATAAAATTCTTCGCAGAAATTCAATTAAGTTAAAAAAATTTTTAAATTCTCCTGAAAATATCAATTATCTTTATAAATAATTAAATTGTTCTCCACAGTTAATCTATTTTCAAAAATTGTAATAAAATTGTACAGAAACATTTAATTATTTTCATAAATAATAACATTCTTTTGAAGGATTCAATTACTTTTATGAATAGTAAAATTCTTTGCAGAAATTCTATTAGTATCAATAAACTACCGTCGGAAGTTATCGGCACGGCTGCACGAGCACGCCCAACAAACGTAGCAATCTTTAAATCACGATTTTCATGTAAATACAAATGTTAAAAAATTAACAAATATACCATTCGAAAGATTGTTAAATTCTACGATTAATGATATATAACTAAAAATTTTAATAAATTATACCAAAATTTCAGCAATCGACAAATTTGACAAAAAATATAAAAAAATAAAATTTGTTTGGAAATTTTTTCAACCCCTGCATATTTTAACAAAATTGTTGAAAAAATTTGAAACATAGGTGTGATTATTTAAGTCTCATCTTTAATTTAAGACCCAAAAAATTTAAAAATCTTATTCGGTTCGTGAGATATCATTATAAGCGTCATGTATAAACGAGCATGTTTTTTAACAAATGCATTGAAAAAAAAATTCAACAAAAATTTTATTTAAAAAATTTTTTTTTGTCAAATTTTTCGATTGCTGCAATATACATTATTAAAATATTCAATTATGTACAGGGCTCGAAGTAGGCCCGTAAATCCTGAAAAAGTCCGTAACTTTGCTTCAAGTCCGTAAAAATCCGTTTTTTTTTAAAAAAAGTCCGTAAAGTCCATAATTTCATTCAAAAAGAATGAAAGGATCGTAAATTGTACGATATCATTTTGAGAATTTTAGACTAGTTACAAATGATTGCAGAAAGCCAATTATTTTTAAAAGTAATAAAATTCTTTGCAAAAATTCAATTCTGTTCAAATTTTTTTTAAAATTATCGTCAAAATTTCAATTATTTTTAGAAATACTAGAACCAAAAGGGCGCGCCCACTCCTGATTTTTTACCACACAAAAAAAACCTTAATATAACCTTAAATTAAATCTGAATTTAATAAAAACATATGTTTATATTTTAAAAATTATTTTTCTGTTAATAAGATTGTATAAATTTTTTTAATTGTTTTAATCTAAGATTGACGAATTGAATTTTCTATAAAAAATTACACGTTAATGCCTATAAAAAATTCTCATTCTGGAGAAAATCACCTTTAAAATAAGCCTAAAATCATTAAAAAGCATTCAGTATTTTAGAAGTCATTAAAATTTTTGTAACACATTGAAAATTATCATTTTTTAAAAATGTCTAAATAAAATATTGATCAAATGACTTGAAAAACTATGTACAGACTCCAAGGATTAATTTAAAAGAAGAAAAATCAGTAACCTTCTATATTATAGAAATTGTGTAGATTTTTCTGCCAAAATACAGGCGAAATTTTTATAAAATTTATACTTAGAGTTTTTCACATCAATACAGGGTAATTTAATTTTCCTAAAATATTGAGAACATTCTTGAATTTGCAATTGTTTTAAAGAATTGTTAATAACAATTTTAAAATTTAATTTTTAACAATAACTTTATTTTATCATTAAAGTATAGACTTGAAGCTTTAATTTAAAAAAAATTACTTAATTATTACTTCCTCATAGAGGAAGTATTGTAATACCGAAATTTTTCGATTTCGATTTTTTGATATATCTTTATGTTATTTGACCTCAGGAGTTGCGGACATAAAGTGAGAGTACTTTGTGAAAGATTAATAAAGTTTAACTAATTTTTTTTTTTTGGATTTTTAATTTTCCAGAAAAACGTTTTTTGCCCATAACTTTAAAAAACTGTTAGGACACCTATAAATTTTTTTCCATAATTTTGTAGAGTTTTTCTAAACGCATCTTTTAAGTCCTAATTGAAAATTTTTCGTCCATATTAACCGGAGATATTAAACTTTTAAGAATCATAAATTTTAGAAAAAAATATTTTTTTGAAAATTTTGTTAAAAAATGTAGAAGTAATCTTAAAATTGTCGTTACCAGTTGGTAAAGCATTATAAAACGATTCGATTGACCTATTTTTGAACCTAATTCGATAATAAATTTCGACATTATTGGTATTTTAAAAACCAAAAATTGTGGAAAATGACATTTTCTCAACTTTTTGTTTGAAAATTTTTGTTTAACTATTAAACTATTAAAACTATATTGTAGAGTATTTAAAAATACATTGACTGACCCAAGATTCAATCACTTTTACCATATTTATTAAAAGTTATTCATATATTTTCCTATTACTATTATCTCTATGAGGAAGCAAAGTATTCATGAAATGAGCGCACCAAAGTTATAAAAAAATATAAAACTTGTCAGCGGTTTCTTAATTTGTTTCAAAGTAATAATAACATGAAAATAAAATGATCTAAAACTTTAACACCAAATTACTTTAATAATAAAATTTTTTTTTAAAAAAGTTTCCCTTATTAGGAAAAATTTTTTTTTCCTTATTGGGTCAAAACCCATTATATTAAAACATCAAAGATGTTTTTGTTGGGATTAAATTATTCTCTAATTAATGATTTATTACCATTTATTAAAGCAATTTTAATTAATTGTACACTATCTGCAAAAATTATGTAAATGCTACATTTTAGTGCTATAAATATTTTTTTCATTTTGCAAAATGTATTAACCCATTAACGCCCACCAGGACGCAAAACGTACCAAGATTTCATGACTCTTATTTTGTATGAAATAATTAGTTAAAAATTTTAGGAAGTACCATTTCCGACGTAAATTTATCGCTCTTTCTGAATATGAAGCTAAAATTTGTTTATAATTATCTCAAAAAAATTTATAACAATTTTATTGCAAAAAAGCACACTTTTTTATGAAAAAAAAATTTTCAATTATTATTTTGACATGGAAAACTAAAGAATATGGTCTCCAAAGCACAAAATATCGCGTCCTTGAATTCTCAGCTATAAAAATCCATAATTACTTTTCATTAAATTCAAGATGGCG